ATAAACGGTGTTGGGAAAACTGGAGAGCTACATGTGAAAGAACCAAACTGGCCTACTTTCTCACTCCTTATACAAAAATAAACCCAAAATGGATTTAAGACTTAAAAATAAGTAATACTTGAAACCATAAAACTTCCAGAAGAAAACCCAGGTAGTATGCTCTTTGATACCAAGCTCAGCAATTTTGGGGGACACATTTCCTCAGAGAAGGGAAACAAAAACAAAACTAAACAGATGGTACTACATCAAAAGCTAAAAAGCTTTTGCACAGCAAAGGAGACTACCAACAAAACAAAAAGGCAACCGACTGAATGGAAGGGAGACAGTTGCAAACAATATATCTGATAAGGGGTTACAATACAAAACATAAAAAGAACTCATACAACTCAACATAAAAAAAAAAAAAAAACACCCAGATAAATGAAGAAGATGTGGTGTGTGTGTGTACACACACACAGAGACAATGGAATATCAGTCATAAAAAAGAATGCAATAGGGCTTCCCAGTGGCTCAGTAGTAAAGAATCTGCCTACCAATGCAGGAGATACGGATTCAATCCCTGGTCCAGGAAGAACCCAAATTCTGCGGAGCAACAAAGCCCATGCGCCCAGCTCCTAAGCCTGTACTCTGGAGCCTGTGCAACTACGGAACCCCGCAGGCCCGAGCCCTGTGCTCTGCAACAAGAGCAGCCACCGCAATAAGGAGCCCGCACACCGCAGTGAAGAGTAGCCCCCCTCACCGCAACAAGAAGAGCCCACACAACAACAAAGATCTAGCACAGCCAAAAATAAATAAATAAAAACACATGGAAGGGAGAGACTTCCCACACCAAGTGATTCTCTGTAGACAACTTTAAAAAAGAATGAAATAATGCTATTTGCAACAACATGAATGGGGCTAGAGATTATTATACTAAGTGAAGTAAGTTGGACAAAGACAAATATCACCCAATATTACTTTGATGTGGAAACTAAAAAAAATTATGCACAGGTACTTATTTACAAAATAGACTAATAAAAATTGACTCACAGTCATTGAAAACATGGTTACCCAAGGGGGAAGAGGCAGAGAGTGATAAATTAGGAATTCGGGATTACCAAATACAAACTACTACATATAAAACAGATAAGCAATAAGGTCCTACTGTATAGCACAGGAAAGTATATTCAATACCTTGTAATAATGGAAAAGAATCTGAAAAATAATATATGCTGCTGCTGCTAAGTCACGTCAGTAGTGTCCGACTCTGTGCGACCCCATAGATGGCAGCCCACCAGGCTCCCGTCCCTGGGGTTCACCAAGCAAGAATGCTGGAGTGGGTTGCCATTTCCTTCTCCACATAAAACCAAATCACTTTGCTGTACACTAGAAACTAACACAACATTGTAAGTCAACTATATTTCAATTTTAAAAACACTTTTAAAAAACTGATTTTAAAAAAACTGATTAAAGAATAGGCAGAGGATTTAAATATTTTTCTGTGGAAGACATACAGATGGTCAACAAACACATGAAAAGATGTTCAACATCACTAATCTAATCAGGAAAATGCAAATCAAAACCACAGTATCACCTCCCCCTGTCAGAATAGCTATTATCAAAAAGACAACAAATAACTGTTGGCAAGGACATGGAGAAAAAGGAACTCTCACGCAGTGTTGGTAGGGATGTAAACTGGTACAGCTACCATGGAAAACAGTATGAAGATTCCTCAAAAAACTGAAAATAGAACTACCATGTGCTGCTGTGTTGTACTTGGTTGCTTCAGTCGTGTCTGACTTTGCGATCCTATTATAGCCCACCAGGCTCCTCTGTCCATGGGGATTCTCCAGGCAAGAATCCTGGAGTGGGTTGCCATGCCCTCCTCCAGGGGGTCTTCCTAACCCAGGGGTTGAATCCAGGTCTCCCGCACTGCAGGTGGATTCTTTACAGTCTGAGCCACGAGGGAAGCCCAAGAAAACGGGAGTGGAAACCAGCCTGTCCCTTCTCCAGGGGATCTTCCCAATCCAGGCATCAAGCCAGGGTCTCCCGCACCGAATGCGGATTCTTTACCAGCTGAGCAGTATACCAGGGAAGCCAGAATTACCGTATGATCTAGCAATTCTATTTCTGGCTATTTTTCTGACAAAAATAAGATATATGCACCCCAGTGTTCACTTCAGTATTATTTACAATAGCCAATATATGGAAGCAATCTAAGTGTTCATCAATAGATAAATAAAAGAAGATGTAGTATAATACACAAAGGAATATTACTGAGCTATAAAAAAGAATGAAATCTTGCCATTTGCAACAATGTGAATGGACCTAGACAGTATTATGCTAAGTAAAATAAGGCCGAGAAAGATAAATACTATACAACTTCACTTATATGTGGAATCTAAAAATAAAACAAATGAACAAATATTAACAGAAGAAACAGATTCTTGGATATAGAGAACAAACTGGTGGTTGCCAGAGGGGAGGGGGATGGGGAGTATGAGTGAAATCACAGAGGGAGATTAAGAGGTACAAACCTCAAGTTATAAAATAAGTCACCAGGATGTAATGTACAATACAGGGAATATAATAATATCTTAATAACTTTTTATATTGACAGATGGTAATCAGACTTTGGTGAACATTTTCTAATGTATAAAAATATCAAATTGGACTTTCTGGTAGTTCAGTGGTTAAGAATCCAACTGCCAATGCAGGGCACAAGGGTTCAGTCCCCGGTCCAGAAAGATTCCACAAGCCTTAGGACAACTAAGCCTGTGGGCCACAGCTGCTGCCTGAGAGTCCTAAAGCCTGTGCTCCACAACTAGAGAAGCCACCGCAACTAGAGGCCTGAGCACCCCAATTAGCCTCTGCTCGCTGCAATTAGAGAAAAGCCCATGTGTAGCAATGAAGACCCAGGACAGCCAAAAATGAACAAATAATTTAAAAAAATCAAATCATTATGCTGTATACCAAAAACTAATATGATAGTAAGTCAATTATACTTCAATAAAAAATAAAATTTTTAAAATAAAAGAAAAATGGGCAAAGGACTTAAATATATTTCTTCAAAGAAGATATACAAATGGCCAATTTGCATATGAAAACATACTCAACATTATTAGTCATTAGGGAAATGCAAACTAAAACTATAATGAGAGCCAGTTTAGACTCACTAGAATGGCTATTATGAAAAAAAAATTAAAAAATAACAAATGTTGGTGAAGATGTGGAGAAATTGGAACCCTGGTGCATTGCTGGTCAGAAAGTAAAGTGGTGCAGCAACCCCACTTCCAGATGTATACCCAGGTAAAGTGAAAGGAGGGACAGTCACTTTTCACACCCACATTCACAGCAGTGTTATTCTCAACAGCTAAAACGTGAGGAAAATCCAAATGTCCATCAACAGCTGAATGGATAAACAAAATGTAGTATGCACACATAATGGATTATTACCTAGCCTTAAAAAAGGAATGAAATCCTGACACATACTACAACATGATGAATCTTAAAAGCATTGTGCTAAGTGAAACAGCCAGAGGCAAAAGAACAAATACTGTATGAATGCATTTATATGAGGTACATGCAATAAGCAAATTCACAGAGAGAATATAACAGAGGGTACCAATGGCTGGGGATAAGGGAAATAGGAGTTGTTATCTCACAGGTACAGAGTTTCTGCTTTGGATGATTAAAAAGCTCTGGAAATGCATTGTGGTGATGGTTGCAAAACAGTGTGAATATATTTAATGTCACTAAATTTCACATTTTAAGAAGAGTTAAAATGATAAACTTTGTTATGTGTATTTTACAATTTAAAAATGGACTCAAAAATATTTTAACTTCTGCTTATCAAAAGACATCATTAAGACAATGAATAGGCAAACCACATATTGGGGAAAAACATTCCCAATATATCAGACACAAATGAATTTACCAGGCTGCTTAAACACTCTGCAACTGGGAGCTTTGAGAAGACCAGTTCTGCCATGCATCCACGCACACCCGTATGAAACTGCAGCATGGCTCAACAAAAAGAAGTCCAGAATAGTGACAAAGCCTTGGCTTTGCTGATTTCTGGTCCCGGGCCTGCTTCCTCATCTACAACATGCTGAAACTTAGTACGGGCTCCACCTTGGTGCCGATTCTTACATCAAGATAAGAGAGCTTATGTAGCAGTACCACAGAATGGAAAGTTAAAATACTGAGAGATGATGGATAAAGACTACCTCTCCTTCTATGTTTCCCTAGGGCCACCTATACATTCAACCTTCTCTGGGAGACGTGGGATTCCACTCTTAGAAATGACCTTTCCAGTACATGTTTGGCCCCCTAAGCAAGCACTTCTATTGATTCATTGCTACTATACAACTCTCCAAGTTTCCTCAGAAAACTGTCCGATGAGGTTTACCCACTTAGAAAACTGAGCCACTGTCACAACTTTAAATGATCGCCATTAACAAGGAGGGGAAACAAGTGATGAAGGTTAAAACAAAAACAAAACCAGCATTCAGATGGCCTAGTTGAGAAACTCATGGTCTGGCAAAAGTTTTGATTCCAGAAACTTCCAAAAGCATGTTATATACTTGTTTTCCAGCCATCTCTTGCTTCCATCTAAAGGACTTCATGGGACAGCAAACTATGATGGCCTTCTACAAATGGAAGCAATTAAAGGGAGATTATCCCTTCCTCCAAGGACACAAAACAAGTCTGCCCTCTAGCTTCACTGTCATACTCAGGCTCCCACAGGCAGGACAATGCCAGCCAGGCTCCCACCAGCCACCCTGTGACAGGGCATGGGAGCAAGATGAAAGTCCTCAAGGTGCCCAAAGTCCGAGGGAGCCCTGGAGCAAGCAGACTGATCTCAGCTACCAATTCTTCAAAACGGACGAAGTGATACCAAGAGCCAGTCATTCAGTCCTTCATTCTCTTTATCCCTAGGGCTTTCCTGATACCCTAGCGATGCCAGCAAACAACAACAACAAAAAGAAACGAAGGAAAAAACACATTGGTCTGCTTACCCCTCGTTGGACCGTATCATGTAGTCAGTAAATTCATGGTCCCCCTTGATCACCTCCAAGGGGACAACAAGGTTGACGTCAGAATCAGTGTTCCGCAGCTGGTTGAGTTTAATGTTGACTGAGAAGAGGTAATCCCGCACTTCATCTATGCCCACCTTCAGGCCCTTGCACACCACATACCTGAGAGGAGAGACCCTGTCACTCCACTGAGCAACGGCTTCCCTGGCATAATTCCTCCTCCCCAAACCCCCTGCTGAGTCACAAAACCCCTGTCTACGTACCAAGAACAGAGTGCTGCAAAGTTCACCTCAAATCCTTCCTTTTTAGGTTGGGCTGTGTTTCTACTCTCTATGGCAGTGGTTTCCAATTACCCTGTGCCAGGCTGGCTGAATCACCATCAGCTGGGGAAGTCTGTTAAGTTAAGGGCAATCAGACTCTCCAGGGATGGGGCCCAGAAATCTGTGTTTTTAACAAGCCGCCTAGCAATTCGGATTGGCTGAATCTTCTCTCACAAGATGCACTGGCACTGTGTCCCACCTGGGATGCAAACAGTGACTCTGGCTGGTGGCCCATTTGTCCTTCAGGTAACCCTTCCTTGGTCTCCTTCACCCTCCTGGGCCAAGCCAAGGATCGCACACAAAAGTGTGGTGAACAAGGTTGATGGAGGAGGGAGAAACTGAATGGTACATCAGAGAACCAAGAAAATCCAAATCCTCTTGGCTCTAATCACTTTTTTTAAATCAGGGTATTTTAACGTAGCTTGAGTGCTCATGCCAGAGATGCACCAGGTTTTCTTGTTCTGACATTTAGCCAACTAGTCTGATTCAAAGGGAGAGGAAAGCCTCACCTCTCTGAGTTGGCAGGACGGCTGGTAATCGGCTTAAAGAGACATACTCGTTCAAAGCAGCAGTAGAGCAGGTAGATAAGCCCCACGCTGAACGGTGTGAAGAGATCGAAGGTTTTACAGATGAAGTGGCCTCCTATGTTAAGAGGAAACACCGACAGTCAGCAGCTTCCACTCCAGGAAGTGGGTTGGATCATCTCAGGGACTATGACAAAGTCAGGGCCCAGATACCTGGGCCCATTAAAAGTCACAGGCCACAGAAGGGAAAGAGTTGTAGAGGGGACTCTAGGGATTCCATAGCACTTTCCCCCCTAAATTCCTCATTCCGCCACATGTCATCTCATACAAGCAGACCATTATTTAACTTTCAAGCCAACCCCAATACATGTTCTTGTACAACAGGGCCTCTGGTGGGTCCTGGATGGGGAGACGGCAGAGAAGTGTCACCTGTCCGGACAACAGACAGCGCCATGAGGAACTGACAGAGCAGCAACTGTTTGCTGAGGATCTCCTGCAGGTTCTCCTGTCCCTCCACTGAGAAGCCCTGAAACGACAGCACAAGGATCAGAGCAGAAAAGAGAAGTGATGAGGACTGAAGAGAGTGTTCCTACCTCATCTTCCCTGAGATTTCTTCAGGTGTTTCCACTGATTTCCAGATTCTCTGGTGTGGTCATATGGCTCACTGTGAAGACAGCACCTGGGACCCGGGCCTGCCTACTGAGCCAGTGCTGTTTTCCTGCTCTATCGCTCCTGGGGATGGAACCAAATCTGCTCCTCCAAGGAGATGGTTCAGAAAATTTTAAAACTCATGCTGGAATCCAAGGGAAGGATACGGCAGAACAAAGGCAAAATATGCTAGTCACAAGCCAACTACAAGACAGGAAACTGAATGCCCTGGTGAGTCTAGTGAGACCCAGGGAGCACATGTGGCTAAATGGGCTCCCTCAGTCCTGGGCTTACCACTGAACAGGCCCCAGTCTGGTGACAGGAGAAAGTCTGCCTAACTCTGACCATCACAAGAATCTTTCTTTCTCTTCTGACCACAGATTTACTCACAAACCACCCCCCTCCTGTCCCAGGACCATGGAGCCTCTTCCTCCAGCTGGCTGCCTCTCTGGGCAGGCTGTTTGTATGAAGAATGTATGCTGCTGTTCTTGGAGCGGTCTCCCTCCATGTGAGATCCCAGCAAGGAGCCGAGAGCCAAGCTCACAGGGGAGTGAGGGACGCCAAGGGCTGTGATGGGAAAAGAGGCAAGTTGTTGTTTAATGGACACAGTGTTTCAATTTTGCAAAATGGAAAAAGTTTTGGAGATCTGTTTCATGAAAGCATGATTATATTTAACATAACTGAACTGTAAACTTAAAAATGGCTGCAACAGTAAATTTCATGTTTATGTGATTTTTATCACAATAATTAAGAGAAGCAAAGAGGCTGGCCTCCATTTAACTGGCCCCAGCCTGGTCTCCAGAAGTAAAAATGTTCAGTAATGTCTTCCAGATTTACAGATGCTTCTTAAAATGCACGGCTATTTACAGGGAGAGGGGAAACACACACACACCAAAAAACCCCACGTAGGTCACCAGTCCATGTTGCCTATGTCAGAAGGACAATCCTTGAGTCTGCCACTCGAGTTGATGCCCTGCATGGCTGCCTCCCAAGCGTATCAGACTCCGACAGGCTCAGCAGAAGCGGCCCCTCCCTCCACTCAAGCCTATCTGTTGTCCCCTGCTAGGCACCAACCTTTGGGGACTGAGGGCACGCTCAGATCCTGTGCTGACATTCTAAACATTTCTTCACCTCTCCACATAGCTACTGCTTGAGAGGCTGCCCAAGGGGCTCCAGAAGCTTTCTGCAACTCTGGCCACTGACCCTGGAGCAACTGCCTCGCTCTCTGACCCTTCTCTACACTAAGTTGTAGTTCACAACTTTTCTGGTAGTCCAGAAAAAGACTACCGGCAGCATCAGATTACTAGGGGAGAAAGCTGGGGGGGCTTGCCTCTATGCCTCAGACAGCTGCCCAAGAAATGGGTAACGTGAATATCTTCTTCAGCCCAGCCACTGACAGAGCCTCTTGTGGAGTCTTAATATGGAGTCTTAATTAATATGAAGCTGATGCATTTGGTTATGTGGTTGCCTATCAGCTGCTCCCAAGGCTTAGGAGTGGCCGTGTACAGGCAGCCTCTGCCAAGAGCAGCACCTGGTGACAAACAATGAAAACGTCCTTCCCGTCAGCTCTGCTGAGTTCATCTTAGTCACGGTGCCCCCTCACCAGGCCTCTACCCTCACCAGAGGCCCGTTGAGGAAGTGAACTGGGAAGATTCACCTGCCCCAAGCAAAGATGCCCACAACAGCACAGCCTTGACAAAGTTACAAACTGAAAAGATGTACAAAAAGGATAAAAACATACATTATCACCCCACGAAGAGCAGGTCACCTACCCCATCGGCCATCAGAAAGTGGACACCCTTGTGATCGGTGTTATCCAGAACGAAATTCCGAAAAGCATTGATGTTCTCTGGGCGAGTGATGTCTCCGTCTCCATCGATCCCACCCTCACCTGACAGAGAGGACACAAGGTTCACATTTAGCTTGTCTGCCCTGTGCATCCCTGGCAGCAGGACACAACCTCGCCAGGGCTGTGAACACAGGTACCAGACAGACCTCAAGGCCCAGGAGAAGACCCTCTGTGAGGAGCACCTCACTGAAGGGCCCGCCATACAAGGCTGCCCTGCAGTGATGGACCAGGAGGCAGAGACAGGGCCCTGCTACAGTGGAGGAGAGTTCAGGAGGCGTCAACCAGCCGTGAGCCATCAACTGACACAGAAGGTCTTCATGTTCAAGATCAAACGTGCGTTTAAAGCACCTACATTTAGGAAGCAGTATCAATTTCTTAATAAGTTCTGTTAACAAAGGACTTGGGGTTTCCTGCCAAACCACAAAAAGCAAGACAGAGCGGAGGGAACTGCTGGGGGGTTGCTGAGCATCTGGCATACAGGGCTGGGGATGAGTGTGGATTTGTTATTTGGTAATAACCCCGCCAGTTCTCAGCCAGAGATCAAATGGTTTTATTATCTCCTGTCACCACAAGAGAAGGAAGGAGAGATTAATATGGATCTGCTGAGAATTTGCCTACTAGAGGATTTAACCTGGATTCCACAGGCCTGGGAAAAAAGGGACAGTCAAGAGGAAACCGAGACCTTCATGACATGGGCTGGGAACCCTGTACTGAGCGACCTAGGACAGAAAACACGGCACGTGGATAGTAACTCCTCCTGAAAAGACCTGTCCCTCTCGGTCCCTGGTGCCCTCCTCCATGTCCCTACCGTAGTAGGGTTCGAAGAGCTCACTGGAGGCGGAGTAGAAGTCTTCCAGCTTAAAGTCATTAGGACCCTTCAAAGTCATTCCAAAGCCCTTCGCGTGCCACTTCTTCCTCCACAGCACATACTCCGAGAAGCCACCCGGGCCTGCACAGACGTCAGCAAAGTACAGAAGCTCAGCTTCCCGGTCCTTCACCAGTGGCTTCTGCAAAGGTAAGTGGAAGTCAGGGGAGAAAGAGGGAAAAAAATGGCTCAATGGGGAGCAGGAAAGAGAAAGCAGGGGACTAAAATAAGCCTTTCAGCAAGCACAGTGCAGAGCTCCTGCTAGAGCCACAACCGCCAGCAAACCAGGCGGGAAACCGGCAGGAAACCTCTGAGACCATTGCCTTCAGAGTCACCCATCCCCACCTCAAAACACCCGATGCCTTTCACACCACCACGCCTGGCTCAGACTCCTAATAAAACATCCTAATGGGCACCCAAGTGTGCATGTTTTATTTCTCAGCATCTTTTCCCCACTGCATCCTGCCTTACAAGAGTCCCAATGAGCGGAGTAGATGTTCTAGCCCCCCACAAGACAGACAGGGAAAGAGAGACGCCAAGACACAAATTTACCTGTTCACAGCCTGCAGCACCACTTAGTCAGCATCCCATCAGCCTGACCAGGAGACGCAGGCTTCCTGTCCAACTAAAGTCTGAGGGGCTCTCACATCACCTCCTCCCAGCCCAGGGCCTCACCTTCCAAATCACAGCCTCTGTGCCCCTTCGTCCCCTCCTCCTAGACACTCCCTTTTCTTTTCCCCTCCAATTAAGTTTTTATCATGGAATAATTTGAGATGTACAGAGAAGTTGCGAGGACAAAGTTCACACATATCCTTCACTCAGTTTTAGTAACACCTTACATGGTCAGTTGTAAAAATTAAGAAACTGACATGCACGGGTACATCACTATGAACTAAACCCCGGACTTGATTCAGATCTCACCAGACCCCTTGTTCTGTTCCATGACTCCACCCAAGACAGCACAGTGCACTGTGCGTCCTCCTTTTTTGCACACCGCCCCCTCCTGCCTCTGCCCCTCTGTTGACCAGGGCCTGTGCGGGGCAGAGCTGGAAGCTGACAAGATTGAGAGAACAGGAGACACTGATCTAGGCAGCCATCAGAGTATCCACTCACCTAAAGAATAACTGCATTACACTATCATCATTTGTATTTGATGATCAGTTTTGGCCACTTAAGTGGCTTTAAATTCTTAATATAAAGTGCTGGGTGCTCCCTGGTGGCCTCGTGGTTAGGATACTGGGCTTTCACTGCTGTGGCCCAGGTTCCATCCCTGGTCGGGGAACTGAGATCTCACAAGCCACACAGTTTGGCCAAATTAATTAATTAAATTTAATGTATGCTGAATGCAGATCTAGACTGTGTTTACACTTTTCTACACACCTGGGCCCTCGAGGGTGAATTCTACTTGTCTCAAGCCTCCACGGCAGAGACGTGCCATCTGCACTGGTGACAAGAGGCTAAGCTCCAGAGAGGTGACTGCAGGGGACCCTGATGACCACCCAGCAGGAAGGGCTAAGACCGCTCAGCCTTCTCTCCCTCAAAGTCTGGCACGGCTGGGTGCTTGTCCAGAGAGCTCTAACTGCCAGATAAAGATCAGAAGGCTTCAGGGGAAACAGTTATAGGAAAGAAATGGAAATACTAATTCTCACAGTCCAGTCACTTTCAAGGTGACAAGGGCTTTGCCTCTGATGCTGGTTAGCTAGCTTGATCACAACAGTGGAAAAAGTCTCTGGAGAAAGGGACTGTAGCTAAAAATACACTTCATCACCCTGTGGCAAGCCCACTCAGTGTGCTGGGACATATCAGTTCCTTCTCCCCTTCCTCTGCTCCACCACCCTAACATTCTTTGTTCCTGTGCCATCAATTATTCATATCTTCTTATTGTATTCATTTGCACACTAAAAAAGACCTAATAGCATATACCAAGAATATTATGCAGCACTTCCCAGGCTACAAAGCAGTAGTGAGGCAGGCGTCACAAGTTTAAGGCCTGCACACACTGGAAAGAGTGAAAACACTGTTCCTCACCACAGGCCATGCCCCAGCCCCAGGCACCAGGTTCACCAGGTGAGAGGCTGGCCCAAAGAAGACTATGAGAAGAAAGGAGAATGAATCAATGAAAGCATCTCACCTCCAAAAAGACAGCATAAATATGATCTGTTCTGTAATTTCAAGACGTGTCACCCTCGCAGGCCGCGGCCAGAGGTACTTTCACAGAAAGGACGGCTGGGGTTCTTACCTCTGCCACTTACTGACTGTGCAGTCAAAGGCAAGAACATGATTTATGTCTTTAAGCTTGAGCTTCCTCAATGACAAACTGGAACTAATGTAGGTTATTTCTCAAGGCTATTGTAGGATTAAACAAAGTACCTTATGTCGAAGACTCTTAAAAACTGTACAATACTGAACAAACGTTAAGATGACACGAAGTTCAACTAGATCAGCCAGCTCCCTGAGAGTCAGACCCTTGTCCCTCCCCTCCTTTTCTCTCTGCAGAGTCTGGTGCAGTGCTCCACAGGCAGCGGGGACTTCGTAAGTGCTGTCCAATTTCTTCTAAGACAGCGCTGAAACTTCAAGATCTACATTCAGCTTTTGTATCCTGTTATGCTTCATAGCCAATGCTTTCTTACTACAACGATAACCGCAGGCACACAAGTCCCTCATGTAACGTTTTGGTTTATATATAATACACTTCCATATACCCAAAGAATCTAAACGCCTTTCTCTTCCTGGCCCCTTCCAATTCTTGTTTATGATCTTTTTATTTCCCTAATCTCTTTTCTCCTTCTACCGAAACCTGTAGAAGCAGAAACACGCTGAAAAACCTCAAAGACCCTCCCTCCAGCTTCCCATCTCCAACCTCCTCACACTTTCCTAGGCTTCACTGTTGTCCGCACTCTTACTCTAATTTCCCTGATCCAAGAGCCACTGAGACTCTAGCAAACCTGGGCGTGTGCCTGGGGCTTCTGCCACTCCCATGTCTGCTGGGACTGCTCTAAACACAACAAGCCTGCTGGGCTTGGCTGTCACTCCAGTCCTTGGGAAACAGGGGTGAACAGACAGAAGCAAACACTAGGAGCTGAAGAGAAATCACTTTTATAGTGGAGTGTAGAAGAACTTCTCTGGAAGGGCAATTCTCCACAGCCACTATCAATCAGTGCCAGTCAGGAAGCTGCCTGCAACACTGTCAACACAGCCACCTTTTCCTATGTAACATCTCCACCCTCTGCCTGAATGGTACAACCCTAGTGCCTACTTCATTTTCCTGACAGCAAAAGACAATAACCAGATCCCAGCTGCTGGGGGCGTTTACATTCAAAAGCCCAAAATGACGCTGTGATTTCCCATCAACCTGACAGAGTTCCTCTGCCAGGCAGGGGTTTAAGGGAAATCATTCAGAGCTCAGAAAATTAAAACAACATTATATCAATGTAATTTTCTCAAGATGCTAATTCCAAGAGCTGTTGTGTACAGCTTGCTGGTACTGTAAGGGGGGAGGGAGAAATAACTAAAGGCTGGAGGGGTCCACCTGCCATTCTGCCACAAGGAGGAAACAACCAGGCAGGGGAGGCTGAAGCAATAAAGAACTTGGAAAACAAATTTCTTTAAGCAGTGGACAATTGGGGGCCTAGCAGAAGGAGGCTGAGTGAGGCAGAAACTGGACTGGAACAGCTGGCTCCTGGCCCTTTCACTGTCAGAGAACTAACAGGGTGAAAATGCTCTGAAACTCTGAAGGGAAAGCTAGAGTGAAATTTCTTTTTTTCTTTCTCTATCATACGGAGGGTCTGTGTTCAGAAAAATGAGAGCAGCAAAGTAGAAAATTATTCTGATCCGCCACTTGTAATTAGGATCCCACCCGAAGCTTGTTCAGAGAAGCAGAAAGGGAAAGTGGCCACATTTGAAGTCACAGATTTTAGAGCTGGGACAAACCTTCAGTCTCTTGGTCCTAACCTGGTCCTCTGGCAGGTTAGAGGGCTAATTTCAGAGATGAGGCAGCTGAGACCCAAAGAAGGTATGAACCTGAGTGACACCGCCTGTGACTAAGTGCTGCACTTCCTCCTGCCCCTTGACATGAACACAAGACCTTCAAACATGATACTGACCATGCAGACCAGTGAAAGAACCCAGATGCCCACATTTCATCCAACACTCAGACATTTCCCAGAGTACTGCCCTCTCATACCAGAAATAGCAGCAACCAAATCAGATGATGTCACAAGATTCAATTTGGAACATTAACTCACTGTAAGGACTGTACACAGTCATCCCTCAGTATTGACAGAGGATTGGTTTCAGGACCCCCAGCAGATACCAGAATTCGCAGATGCTTGAGTTTTTATATAAAGTGGCAGTGTACAGCCAGCCCTCTGTACCTGCAGAGTCACAGACACAGAGGGCTGACTGCACTCAAACTCCACCCCACCCTGGAAGAGGGCAGGCTAAAGCTCCCTGGTGGCAACTGGCCTCTACACGTCGACGAGCCTGGAGAGGCTTTACACACACCCAACCCTTACCCTTATCTGCTCTCAAGTCCCCAGAATGTCCAGAACCTAAGCACCATGGGGAAAGGAATCACATCTATGTATTCCTGGTGCCTAGCACTGTGCCTCGTACAATGTAGGGGCTGGATAAATACATGTTTAATCAGTGCAGCAGAGAGGCCATGCCCTCACCTCCCTGCTCCCTTGGCCTATGGAGGTCACACCTGCTGATCTGGTCAGGAATGTCCCTCCTCCACTGCTGTAAGCCCTGGGCACCTCCATCTGGAGTGAAGAGCAGGATCTGCAGAGTCGGGAGCTGGGACTCCGGGCCTGAAGCCCTAGAGATAACTGCTTTCTAGGGCACTCCTGGGACCACAGGAAGCACTGTGGAACCCTAGCTTAAGAGCTCAAAGCAAAATATATCTCATCACAAAATGCATCTCCATCACCCAGCAGGAATACTCTCCTAGCACTGCACAAATGACAATTTCTGAGCCACTGAAGCTGAAGCCTATTTAGCACTATGAATTCAGAAGCAAAATCTTGTTCTCACCCCATAAGAGTCCCTTGGATTTGTAAACATGCGATCAAACACAAAATCCATGTTAGCCATCTTCATTGCTGCCCTGCAACAAAGAAAGACAGAAAAGCACACCTCAGTTACAGACAGATGGGAGGGTGGAGGCTCAAAAGGAAACATCGACCACTGCACAATGTTGGGGGGGCAGGGGGGAGGAATGCCAGCAAACCTGTTGAGGAAGAAGACTCCTCGGATCATCTCGTAGGGATTGGCCCGGGTCCGAGCTCGCCGCATCTCCTCCCCATCCAGGACATCAAACACACTCTGCCCGGAAAGAATCAGAACCACAAGGTGAGCATCACCCTCTGGGATGGAGCCTGATGAGCCGGATTCACAGCCCTCTGAAGAGCTAGGCCTCGGCTGCATCCCAACTCTGAAATGATCAGACATGTGACCCCAGAGCGGTGGCTCGATCACTCTGCCTCTCAACTACCTCACTTGTAAAATGGTACAAAATAAAAGGGAAGCAAGCACGTGCCTGCCACGTGGTAAGTGGTATTAATCCTACTGGCACTGCTAACCCTCACTGCAAGCCTGCTTCTCCACTCCAGCAGCAACTCGGCAGGGCCTAGAGTTTTGTTATGAAGGGTGTACTCAGAAAGAAGGCAGGCAAACCAAGATGAGGCTTTTCTGAGGGCACCTACCTCACAGCAGGGAACCCTTCTCTTTCCTCTAATTCTCTCTGGAAAAAGAAAGCCTCACTTTACCTGAGGATATTTCTAACACTCTACCTGCCAAAAAAATAAGCTCTGTGAGGCTTGTCTCAGGCCTTGCTTCTCCTCCAACTCATTCTCTCCTCAGTTTCCCTGGCTCACCCTGCCCCAGGCAATGCACCTCCTGACCAAAGTCAGGTCAGGTCAGAAGACATCAAGGGGAGAGTAACACCAACTATCTCTTTTAACTCTCACAACAACACTGAGTATTTTTTTCTTCCCAATTTAAAGATAAGGAAACTCGGAGAAGCTAAAGCAAATGGTCCAAAGTCACTCAGCAAAGAAAGAAAAAAAAAGCTGCAAAACTAGGATTTGAATTCAGCTCTGATACTGAAGAATGATTAAATCTTCCACTATGCCAGCCCCCACTTCAGGATTACGATGAACCCACCCACTGAAATTAAGTGGTTCCCTTCCTGGCTACTGACCACAGGGACAGAACAACACTGCGGGGCAGGGGAGTCACCAGGAAAAAAGAAGTCTCACAGAAACACGCCAGACTGACATCTGCTCTCCAGGAAAAAAATCTTAGCTAAATTTCAGCTTCCCCACAACCGACTCAAAAGAACAAAAAAGCCCAGCACAACCCCTCATACAAAATCTTCAGCGCCAGCTCTAGCCACGAGGCCTTACCTTACACTTCAACACGCTGTGAAGCAGGCCTTCCCCACAAAACTCTGTTTCATCTTCAATAATCATCTTTCTCTGCAGAGAGAAGAAAACAACCCGTAATGACCACATGTGACCGCATCTGGGGGAGGGTGGGGAAACCAGGGTTCTGAGTGAGCAGAGCAGTCCCTGCCAGAGAAGATCAACCCCTGAGGGACGGGGAATGGAAAAGCCTAAATCCCTCTGGCTCGGCTCCAGACAGCCGTGAGAAGGAGCAGCCCCCTGGGGCTCCCCCGAAAGCACCATATGGATACAAGACTCATGAACACTGAGGCTGAGAAAAGCAAACACGGAGGAGACACCCAAGCTGTCTGTCCCTAGAGCGTGGGGGCAGAAGGATGGGGGGCATTTGGGAACACCCCAAATGACAGAGGCTGTCCTTCAACCAGGAAGCCTCTTGCTCCGTGATGAGTATGAAGGCAGGACCTCAGGCACTGACTTGGCAGCGTCACAGAAAACAAGGGTGTGGGAGCCTCATGGGGATGCTGAGTTCAGCGTCATGTATGAGTGAGGCTGCTTCTTCATCAGTGGTGCTCAAACTCGGTATTCTCAGGTTTTACACTCTGTAAGATCACTGAGGATCCCAAACAGCTTTTGCTTCTGTGGGAGATAGATGTGTATATTCGCGTGTGTGTGTGTGTGTTTATATACCTTAATATAAGTTAAAACCGAGATGTTTAAATATTTACTAGTTAAGTTTAAACGAATGTTATATTAATATAAATAAATGTGTATGAAAACTATATTCAAAAAAAAAGATTGAGAAGAGTGGCACTGTGTTCCATTTTTGCAAAGCTCTCAGCATCTGGCTTACTACAAGACAGTGAGACTCTCCTGTCCACATGTGCACTCAACATATGATATCACATGTCATAGCTTCTGGAAGACTTCACAGGACACTTGTAAGAGAATGAGAATGAAAAAGGCAAATAACTTGTCAGAATCATGAAAATAACTGACTTGTAGACCCTCTGAAAGGGTCATGGAGATTCCTGGAAGTCCCTACACTTTGAGAACTGCTCTCTGGAATATGCTGATCTGGTAAAACTATATACTTAACTCTTACAATTTTACAGAAAAAGAATAAACAAATTCCTTTAGTAACAACTCCCTCATTCTTTTCTGAGGACAGAGGTAGTCCTTTTTAGCTACTTGGAACAGTGCCCAACAGTGACCAGAATATATATAGGTGTATAATAAGCTTCTCTAAAAAGCATCCAAGAGGAAGACAGAAGTTATGCATTTTGTGCTGCCTTGCAAGGTAAATGACTAGGAGGAAAAAAGCCCTGTGTGCCACATGTCCCAGGGGCATATTCATGGAGCTCCTGACACCCTCTTGATGCAGCTTTATTCCTGCCAGAAAGCTCAGATTCACACTTTTCTTAAACTGTAAGTATACAGATATACACACCTGATTTGAGGAGGAGAAATGTCAAAAGTGTCAAGAATTCAGAGTACATTTTCCTGAACTCCTACCTTCCCCACAACCATCCAATCGCTCATTTCCTGAGTGTCAGGAATTTCAGTGGTACATTCTGGGAACCATGACACCTGCTCGCAGGCACTGGGCTACAAATAAAAGAGAGGCAAGTAAGTCAGGTAAGGCAGACCCTCAGGGCCATGCCCCAACTCACCAGGGCTTTCCCCAAAGCGATCGAGGGGCTGAGAGTGAGAAGTGTCCAGGACGCTGAGGCCAATGGGAGTGTCAGATCTAAGAACTGAGCCAGGATTCTGAAGTTCAACTTCTAAAGGCCAGGGCCAATTCTGGTTTGAATTCTAAGAAACTTCTCCAACTTTCAAAGTTTCGTTCATTTGTTACAATATTATTTGATGAACACCTACTGCGGACTAAGTGCTCAGTACACAGAGGTAAAAAGACATGATCCTTAACGCAGGCGGCCTATAGTCAGAGCAGTGGGGATGCAGAGAAGAACACAAGTCTACAAGGTAATTACATCAGGAAGACAGTGCAACGAGCCTCACTTCCTGATGCCTTTTATTGCAAGACACAGTAGAAACTGGCTTCTCTAATGCTGCTTCCTCTGAATTTTTCAGTTACTTTCCTTACCAAGCTAAAACTGTGGTTTTCATCCTGGCCACACTTAGCATTATCTGCAGACCTTTTAAAAAGTACTGATGCCTGGGCCCCCCACTCAGAGTATTTGATTCTGCTGGTCTCAGGTGGGGACTGGGTGTAAGGACATTTTCAGAGGTCATCAGGTGATTCTAACGTGCATCCAGAACTAAGTTCATAGGGCTGAAGAGACAATGATTATAAAACCTAAATCAAAAAAAAAAAAAAACCCAAAAAACCTAAATAGGTGGCTAACCTGCATTGGCAGCTCAACATTTTCCCTCCAAGCAAGTGTGGAGAAGAGATTCACCATTGCGAATTGAAGCAATGAGATTAAAGGTAATATTACATGCTCTGAAAAGCATAAAATGGTATCTCAATGCAAGGTCTTGAGGGCAAGCCAACTACCATCAACAGAGAAAAAGTTTCAAAGAAAAATTACTGAAAACTTTTGTCAAAATCTAGCAATGAATCATGGCTTCTCTTGGTCAAAACCGGTCCCTTTAGGTATAAAAGTTGTGAATTATAACCTCTACAAAGAAGCTCATACACAGTATGGATGCTCCTTTGGAGAGGAATAGCAGATTCAACCTCCCCATGGAAGTCTGAACATTACGGCTACCACAAAGTGAACTCTGTCTGAAGCTCCACACCTTGCACTCCATATTCCTGGACAGCAGTGCCACTGAGCATTCTCCATGCAGTGACTCTAGGAATCAGACGTTCACCTCAGGCCACCCAGACTCAATTGCCTTAAAGAAGTGGGACTTCCCTGGTGATCCAGTGGTTAAGACACTGTGCTTCCACTGTAGGGGGCACAGGTTTGATTCCTAGTTGGGAAACTAAGATCCCACATGAGCTGGCATGGTCAAAAATAAACAAACTGATTTAAATTTTAAAACAAAAACAAACAAAAAGAAGTGGCCACTAACAAATAGTTGAGGCAAACTCTTAACCAAAAGAATATCTTTAAGAAGAAAAAGTGAATTATGGTAAATGGTGATTAGGTCAGCCTTGCCTCAAAAAAAATTATTCATGGAATTCCCTGGGGGTCTAATGGTTAAGACTTGGCGCTTTCATTGGCATGGCCAGGGTTTAATCCTGTCAGGGAACTAAGATCTCACAAACCATCTAACAGGGCCAAAAAAAAAACCCCTTTTTTTCAATAGCCTGTCTCTATTAAAAACAGATTTTATGAGCAAATTTCAGATTCCAAGTTTAGCAAAGTTAGTTCTAATTCTGCCCTATTGGGAGGGTAGGGACTTTTCACCCACTCTAGATAAATGAGGACATGGAAAGTACCAAGGAGTTTGGAGGCAGAAACCTACATCTAGCCCCAGTGATCAGTATTTGCCTATTTTGCATTGTCGCCTCTCCTTACAACTACAAGGCAACACAGCAGGACCACTCTCAGAATTCATCAACTCCTGGTCTGTTAGCATCTTACTCTGACACTTTATTAGGCTTTTATCATGCACAGGTTCACAGAACTTCTTTGCTGAACTGGAACAAAAGGGAGACAAAATATCCATTTTCCAGAGTTCAGAACAACATCTGAAGCTCAACTTAAGCAACTATATGGAAGGCTAGACATTTGTGTTTCCTTTTCTCTAGTTTCAACTCTATAATGCTAACATTTTATCATTATTTTTAGATACTTTTATTATACTCACTTCAAATCCTCTATGGAATGAAGTAGGGCATAAGTAAATCAATAAAAATAAACTTTCCAAAAAAAATTTCAACATTATCTGTACCATCAGAGGGAATCTCTTTCGATATTCAGGATTAAAACAAACTCACACCCAAGGAGATAAGCAGAATAAACCCACAAGAGAAAAGCTATTTGGCATAAACAAACACCTATTTAATATCAGGATATCATAAACTTGAGGAGGTGCAAGGACCTTGGAGGGTACCTGATCCAGTTACTCACACAATGGGAGAGTGGTCCTCATTTGGCTCACATGAATCCTTTCAGCAGAGGGAGCTCTCTACCTCCTTAGGCATGTTCATCACCGGTGAAAAGCTGTATCTATTTATTCAAGTTCTTTGTGGAGACACTCTGCCTTTCTGTATCTTCTACCCACTGGTCTTAGACCCAGTCTCATATGAAGCAACAGGAAACAAATCCATAGCCCACTGTATCTCCCCTAGGCTCCTCTTTTCCATTTTGGACACCCCCATATCGTCCATGTAAGAAACTAGTTCCAATCCCCACTAACCACCCTGATCATACTGCCTCTGGGGACTTCTAGTTTGTTAATATGGTTTCATAAAGACATAAATAGCCTTCCCGTCTCCCCTCCACACGAGGTACCTCTGGCTCATCTCGCCAGTTCACATTCAGCTCTTGGTCAAAGCCTTGCAGTGTCAGACCCAAGCCTCGTCGACCTTTCTGATTAGAGGCCTCAACGATGTCCTTCCGACCCTGGCTGTATTTACCCAGTCCTTCACCTTCCTTGAAGCCCATCTTGGCCTGAAAAAGAGACGTAAATGGTGCATTTATATAAGCAAACAGAAGTGGAGCACTTACATAAATAGATATTTATTCAGTCCTTCTACTGTGTCAGACACTGTATTAAATTGTGAGAAATATAAATGAGTAAGGCCTAAAGTTTTCCTTCTAGCCTAGTAACTGCAGTTTGATTGTGAGCCCTGTGGCTGTCTATTCTGGGGGTGAAAGTCTAGGGCAACCACAAGTTGGATAAATGAGAAGGGACCTCATAGCTGTAATTAAAGGCACCAGTAGTACATAATGAATCTCACTGGACATTTGCACAACTACCCTTCCAGCTAATTTATCTGATTAAGTGAGAAGTAGATCTAGAGCAGAGCTGATAAAGAGAACATAATTTAAAATGGAACTGCTTCCAGCAGCAACTTCTAAACCTTACCCTTAACCAGTCAAATGGCCTTACTAGGGAAGGACAATGAGGACTTGAAGGAGCCCACTTAATCAAGAGATTAACTGAAAAATCACTTCATGTAAAACTGAGGTATGGAAGGTACTGTAAGACAGGACAGAAACATCTGTTTAAATGTCACAACTAACTAAAAAGCTTACACTAAACTCTAGAGTCCTGGGCCCAGTTACATATCCCTAAAACCAGAGACCCCAAACCCACATACCCTTGTCTAATAAAAGAACTCCAACCCTAAAGCCCTGTTTCCTCTAGAGGCCTGTATTCCCTGTGGAAGGGGCACTGCAGGCTCAGCAGCTGGATGAAATTCCTACAGTAGCCACAAACCTTTCCCCAGGTCAGAGTCTGAGTCACCAACCTTCCCATCTCCCACTTCCCCGAAGTTTTTGGCCCCCAAATCAGAATCCTGACTATGACTTCAGAAGTAGCAGTTTTCATTCTTAAATGACTCCAACAGAAAACGGAGACGTCAACTGTAATATTCGTGAAGCTAGACAGGAGACAAACTTGGATTTCCCTGACCTTTGCACAAGTAAGCAAGTCTTTTCTTCCACCTTCCTCCTGTGGTATATCAACAGGGTACTGAAGCTGGAAAGGAAAACTGGGCCCTCTTTTGGACGTTAACACAGAAGACAGCTCTACTCCCATTTATTTTAGGAATCTGGGAGTGAGCAGGATTTTAGTCATTTTTTTTTAAGATCACTCACTAGAGCAAAAATCTCAGCATGAAGCCTCCTTATCCACCAACACACATCCATGTGCTCACATATGCTCATAAGAACTCACTACTAAAGAGACCAAAGGCTGCCCCAGCTCTGGACAGGAGAAGCAGGCCTGAGCAGCCACTGCCCATGGATGATTCAAATGTGATACGTGTATCAAGAAGGGGTTACGTGCTCTCTGCTGAACTACAGCAGCTGGTAAGCAGAGGGAAAACTTACACCCTCGCTTTGCTGCTTCTCTTGCCAACAGGGCTTCCCTCCTCTCATTCTGCTGGTAGAGCTTTAGAAACCCAACCCAAGCGCTGACATACCATGAGCTTCTGGGACACACTGTTATACATGGAGTAGCGAGAGGAAGTTCCCTCCACAAGAGAGTCTGCCTTGAATGCATCGTCGAAAGAGTCCGAGCTGCGTTGCTTCCCCTCAGTCTCGCTGTCAGACCCACTTAGGCTTGTAGCAGATGCTAGAAAAGAAAAAAAGAAAATGTTTTGGTGTGTTTACGGCACAATATAGCCTCTAAAGTTTCATTTATACAACTAGTGTTCGGTACATGCATTGCACACACAAAGTTCATTAAGTGACCCAGGTCAAATGTATTCTCTACCTCTTACAAACTGTGTAATCTTGGGCAAGGCCACTGAAGTTTCCTAAGAGTATCTGACACACAATGGGAGTTCAAAATATCAGTCTTCCTTTCCCATCTCTTACAAAACTGGGATGACAATACCTTCCTCATAGAAATGTTTGAAGATTAAGTGAAAAAATGTTATTTGGGAGCACATTGTCAAATAAAAAATTAATGATATGATTATTATTTCTGCTGCTATTTATTAGTTGAACATCAGTTTCCAAACACTGATACCTATTTTCATTTTCAACAATTCTATCATGGGGACTATCTATCATAGTTTGCAATTGTCTAACCTCCTAGCTTTCTGTTTTCACAGTCCTTCAAACTTGTGTGTGTGTCGGGGGGGGGGGGGGGGTGGTCTACAGCACAGCCCCAGAGAAGAGCTGGCTCAGAGTGAAAGTGGGGGAAGAGAAGGGAAGAAGTGAAGGGGGAGGTGGGGATAGGAAAGGAAGAGGAGGAAGAGAGGGAAGACAGGGAAGATGGGGGTTCAAGCAGCCGCACTGAGGCAGGGAAAAGAGGAGCCGCAACTGAAGGCTCCAGCAGGGAGCTGCCAGCCTGGGTGAGTCCAGCCAGTAGTGTCATTTGTCAGCAATTTTGTTGTCCAAAGACTCCAAATAAGACCCACCTTAGCAGCTACTAGAAGTGGTGGGTTACCTGTCTCCTGGCCAAAGGTGGGATAAGCCACAGTCTAGATAATCACTATAACTGAATCTTTCCTTCTCTTTGATAGATATGTGAACCTCTTAGAAGATTTTAAGGAATTCCCTGGCAATCTAGTAGTCAGGACTCAGTGCTTTCATTGCCAGGTTCGACCCCTGGTCAGGGAACTAAGATCCAGCAAGCTGCATGGCATGGCCAAAAAACAGAAAAAAATATCTCAACCCAATATAGTTTTATTCAGGTAGTTTCTTAGGCAAACCCACCCAAATCTGGAAATAAATTCTATCTCAAAGATCAGTTAAACTACTTTGGTGGTCCAGTGGTTAAAACTCCATGCTTCCACTGCAGGGGGCAGGGGTTCGACTCCTGATCAGGGAATGAAGATCCTCCATGGTGAACAAAGAAAAAAAAATCTGGTAAACAATTTCTGCATATCCCCACTGAAAATGGTATAAACTGCAAGCCAGGAGGAATGCAGAACACGAAATGACAGTGGTAGTGTTCAATCTGACCCCAAGGTTAAAGAAGCTGTACCATGCTCAAAAGTATACAAATCTCATTAATAGGCAACTGTGCTTATTTAAGAATAAAATTCTGGGGACTTCTTTGGTGGAACAGTAGATAAGACTCCCTCTGTCAATGCAGGGGTCACAGGTTCAATTTCTGATCTGGGAGAACTCCACATGGTGCCGGAAAACTAAGCCCTTCCTCCCAGAGCCGGCGCTCTGCAGCAAGGCAAGCCACTGCAGGGAAAGCCCTTGCATCGCGAGGAAGAGCTGCTCCTACTCGTCACAACTAGAGAAAGCCTGCACGCAGCAGCAACGATCCAGTGCAGCCCACAGTAAAAATGTTTTAAAGAATAAAATTTTTTAATTTCTTCAATTTATGAACATTATTCTTGCAGACATCTCGTAGTTATTAGGATATAAATGCTTGCTATTTAGACCTAAATACTTAACAAACCTGTTAGGTATTTCTTTTGGTATTTTAAGGGCATAGTGAAAAAAGTTAAAGCAACACTAAGAGTGTCAAGAACCAAGAAAACTTGGGAACCTCCACTCTATGTATTGAAATGATGAGACCACCAAGACATGTTGTCAACTGGATAACAGAAGACTGAGACCATATTCATGAGCATGGCATCCTAACTTTCATGTTCTCAAAAAGGACAATAAGAATAAAATAGAATAAAATTTTTATTTCTTGTAATTACAAATAGAGCTTTTGGAAGGCAAGATATACAAGACCAATAAAAGTGATTAGCCACACATGTGGGGTTGAGGCACAGTGAAAGAATACCAAAATGATTACTTGGAACAAGTGGAAAAAGTGAAGCCTGACTTCTATTTTTATATCACTAGAGTTTACAGTGGCTATCTTTTTATATTTTTTTATTAATGAACCATGTGACTATATTAGCTATCAAAATTTTAAATAAATGTTAAGGAAAAAAAAAACCCTAACTTAGCAACATAGCACAATTCTTTTAAGAAAGAAAGGAGAAAAAAAAAAAAAGAAAGAAAGGAGGTCCCTGAGAACAGATGTTGACTCATGGCTGCTTGTGGGAAGTATTTGAGGAAAGGCACAAAAGACAGCCATTTAAAAAAATTCTCTATATACCCAAAATGGACTTTATACAGGTATTCATAACTTGAGAATTACATTCTAATTCTAAAGCCTGTCTGCACTGATCCATCCATCTCCCTGTGAAAACACAGAGTCGCAAGGGTTGACATTCAGAAAACCGCGCAGTCTTCCCTAGCACCCAGGCCTGACTTTCCCCTCCACGGAGCTCCAGCAGCACCAGTATTCACACTGTCGGCACAGCATTCATCACACTGCCTGAGAGCTAGTTACCACATGCCACCCCACTGGACACAGTCACTCCTAGGAAGCAAGGACTGTGCCACAATTAACCTTCTATCTCTAACACTTGAACTGAGGCTTTGCATTAAAACCAATGAACTAGATACTCACTATAGTGAATTTAAAGAACTGGCACCCAGTTGTCATCTTCGCTAAGCATCTACTGAGTGTACAAGTCCTTAGGACATTCCTTCTTACAACACCTCAAACATGTGGTGTAAGACATCCAGCCCTCAGAAATACAGGGAAGGATACACGCCATTATATATTAGGTTGGGGCAAAAATGACTGTGGGATTGTGAATTTTAAAACCGTTACTAACTAAGCTCAGACACATCTTTATTCATCAAAATAAGAACCATGACAACCAACACATTTTTGCCAATGAGAAGTTGGTTTATTCCTGTAGCATAAAAATCCATGCTTTGGTGTTCAACAAACTCTTGCAGAGCATTTTCTGCCTCCCACTGGTTGTGGAAGCATTTTCCCTGCAAAAAGTCACTGACATGCTTAAAGAAGGGGTATGGTGGATGAGGCAAAACTTGGTAGCTCAATTTGTTCAACTTTTGAATCACTGGTTGTGTGACATATGGTCAGGTGTTGTCATGGTGAAGCATCGGGCCCCTTCTGTTGACCAATACTAATTGCAAGCGTTGCAGTTTTCAGTGCATCTCATCAATTTGCTGAGCATACTTCTCAGATGTAATGGTTTCACTGGGATTCAGAAAGCTGTAGTGGATCAGATGGGCAGCAGACCACCGAACAGTGACTATGAGATTTTTTCTGGTACAAGTTTGGCTTTGGGAAGTGCTTTAGAGCTTCTCAGTCCAACCACTGAGTTGGTTATTGCTGACTGTCACATAAAATCCATTTTTCGTCACACATCACAATCTGATCAAGAAATAGTTCATTGCTGTTGCATAGAATAAGAGAAGATGACACTTCAAAATGACAATTTTTTTGATTTGCAGTCAGCTCATGAGGCACTCACTGAGCTTTTGTACTTTTCCAATTTGCTTCAAATATCAAATGAAGATAGAATGGCAGACGCTAGGTTCTTTGACAACTTGTGTAGCTTTAAGAGGATCAGCTTTGATGACCGTTCTCAGGTGGCCGTTATCAACTTTCAATAGCCAGCCACTATGATCCTCATCTTCAGGGCTCTTGTCTCCTTTGCAAAACTTCTTGAACCACCACTGCACTGTACATTCACTAGCAGTTTCTAGGCCAAATGTGTTGATGATGTTGCGCATTGTCTCCACTGCTTTATGACTTCAGACTCAGAAAATAGCTCGAATTTGCTTTCTGTCTAACATCATTTCCATAGTCCAAAAAGTAAAGATAAACAGCAAGTAAAAAGACATTAGCAAAAAAAAAAAAAAAAAAAAGGCGAGAAATGTGCATTAAAATGATGTATATCACATTTATTAAGAATGTATTCCAGTATCAAATGGCAAATTTCAACAATACAAAAACTGCAATTACATTTGCACCAATCTAGTATTTGTCCAAATACAGAGTGTACAACATCAAAAGTGAACCATAATGTTGTGTCAGCATTGGTTCATCAATTGTAACAAATACAGCACTCCTGAGAGAGATGTTGGTAATGGAGGAGGCTGTACTCACAGGGGCGGGGGTGTAGGAGGTCCTTTCTACTTTCAATTTTGTTGTGAAACAACCTGCTCTAAAAAAAAAAAAAATGAAGTCTTAAAAAATTTTTTTAAGGTTCAACAAAAAATTTAAGCATGGAGATGGAATACCTATATCCTGACAGAGAACTGTGTTCCCCTTGGACTACTCTTTAGCACCCTGTACCCCAGAAGGCCAAAAAAGGACACCTTATACTGTTTAAGAGATCAACAACTTTGGTTCAGGACCTGTTTTTATAAACGGTCCATGTTGTATACAATGGAGTACTATCCAAAAGTATCAATCCTACTCCCAGAGAGCTTAAAAATCCAACAGCTAAGATAAACATGCATTTTTAAGTATATAAAACTTTCTGCAAAGGAAAAGCAGGGGAGCATGTGTGAAAAAATTAGAATAAACTTAAAACCAGAAGTCTGGCTTCTGAGGAGGAATGTTGGCTGAGAAAATCCCTGAATGAGAGGCACCAAATCGGCCTTCGTCCTCATAAGGTAACTCTCCAATCCCCTCAACAAGGAGCCAACATGCTTACATGGGCCAATGCGACACACATCACAGAGTGCTACTCAGAAGGAAAGACCCAGAACCTTGACAATGAGTAACCATGGAAACTGAGAGGTATGGTGATATTTATTTTCTGTCTTGCCTTTTCTGCA